CAGAAGAGGGGGCCACGTTGGCAGAGCTGAAGACCTCGTTTTTAAGCCCCTTTGATCCCGAGACGGAGAGTCTCGTGGAGTACGAGGAGCGACTCCGGCAAGGAGTAGAGATGGCCCGTCCTGACTGCAGGGACGAGGCTATTTCCGTGGCGGAGAGCTGTCTAGGCGAAGCGCAGTTCCAGACAGCGTACTCTCGCTTCAGCAATAATCTTTGTCGTACGACACCGGCGGCTGCACGCCCCGATGGTCCTGATCATGTTCTCCGCGCCATTGGCGCTGGTATCTCCAAGCTGCTGCAGATGCCAGGCGCTGACCCTGTGGCTGTGTACTACCGGTACAAAGGTGCCGCAGACGCCTACGCGGAGGCTGGTGGGACCGACCCCTCGGGTCGAGTGCAAGCTCGGCTTCTCTATCTCTTCGTGAGAAGGCCGAGGCCGCTGAGGAAGCTCGTAGCCTTCCACCGAGCTCAGCTGCTTCAGTCCGTTCATCCCACGACTGGTTGTGGGAGAATTGCGGGCTTGTGTCCCCGTCGAGGTTTCGACGAAGAGATCCCGGTGAGGAAGCACCGCCTGCGCCAGACTACTTTGCAGAGGCAGGTGGCGTCGGTCCCATCAGGGAAGAACCCAAGTCTCGCAGCCGCAGTCGAGACCCTGCGAGTTGGGAGGAACGGTACCAGCAGTACCGCGCGACTATGCCGGATGAGCAGGCTAGTGCGGCGCCTTCGCTCCGGGCACATCTGCCCGAGAAGGCGCTTCCTCACCACTACGACTTGGCTTCCTCGGGACCACCCTCCGGGCAAGATTCGGCCCTTTTGGCCATTGTCCAGGAGATGAGGCGCCAGCGCGAGCAAGATGCCAAAGAGCGCGCTGAGCAGCTCAAGTCCATGCGCGAGGAAAAGTCGGTGTTCACCTATAGCCTCCGGGACGACCTGCCCGTGTTCGGCGATGGTGACTCAGACCTCGATAAGCACCTCGAGGCTTTCAGTGACGTGTGCATGGTCGTCAAGCCCAAAGGTGATCGTGAAAAGCTGCGCCTATTTGCCCGTACCCTTAAAGGTACGCGAAGGCGCTGCTATGGCACTATCATCAAGGAGGCCAAGCACAACGGCGACTACGAGTCTAAGCCAGCTTCCGTCTTCGACCGTGTAGTTGCGGCGCTTGACGCGTCGTTTCACGAGAGTGACGAGGCCAAGGCTATGAAGGCTCGCGCCAGGTATGACAGCCTTGAAAAGAGGGCTACCCAGTTTCAGGAGTTCCAAGTCTCCTGGCTGGAAGCTCTCACGGAGCTCAACTCTGCGGGGGTGTACAAGTGCCAGAAGGACCTGCTCTACGACTACTTGCGCAAGATTGGGTCCTTCCTCCGCGACGAAGTTTCGCGAGACAGGCGCTTCTGGCCACTGCGGCCATCCCCTGGGGTAAAGCAGGAGTTCCGTGGTGTGGAGAATTGGTCTGAGGCCGC